GAACCAGTTCATGTCACAGTTGCTCCATTGCCCATCCAGCTTCTTATGGACTGAGAAAGAGTAGAGGATGGCTCAACACCTTGGGACCCTGCACACATGAAGGAGATCTGGAAGAAACCCCTTTGGCTCCACTTAGCTCCAGCCATTGCAATCATGTGAGGAGCAAACGAGTAGATGCAAGATCTTTTTCTCTGTCTCTCCTTATCTCTGGAAATCTATCTTTCCAATAAAAATGAATGCATCTTATATTTAAAAAGAGTTCAAAGTAATATATGTATGGAAACAAACATAAAGAAACAAAGAAATGAAAGAGCAATTACCCTGACTTGATCAATATACATTGTACACAAGGGACAACCACACTGTACTCTAAAAATGTATACTTTTGAGTAAATAAAAACTTAATTAAAAGATTTGCATTAACAAAGAAGTTATTCCAATAGTGTTGTTTGGAAATAAAGCATCTGAAATCCCACCCGATCGAGGCAGTAATAGCTAATGTAAACCTAATTCATTACATAGCCAAATAACTACATGGCAGTTTCCTCTGTCAATACAGTATCAACTAAAGTAAGAGACGGATACGTGATTTATTTTGAAGAGTAAACAGCAAATGTGGGCCAGTGCACACATTTTTAGGACAGTACAGTAAATTTCAGCATCCCAGAGACCCCCAGCTAACTATGTAAATTCTTCAAGGAAGTCTTGAAATCCGGTCTAGAGGAAACATGACAGCCTGGGAGAACGCTTGCCTTTGGCTCTCCTCCCTCCCATTCTGATTACCACTACTAATCCAATCACTGCAAGCTAACATGCCTCAGAACATTCCCAGAGCACCTCCGGGCTTACAAAAAAACTTTCTAAGCACTTCATCCTGGCAGCTAAAGGCCTTTCCTTCCTGCATTTTTTAAACAAACAAACAACAAAAAAAGCATTACCTTAATAACCCCTGTCAAAGGAAACTATATCTGTTATCTTTTTCTTATTTATATAAAAAAATAAATTTCATGTATGTCATAAATACAATTTTAAAAGCATAATGATGCTCTCTATCCTCTCTCTCTCTCTCCCTCCCTCCCTTCCACTTTTTTCTTTCCCTCTGCCACCCACCCCTCTTGTTCTCCTTTTCTTATTTTCTTTTAATTTTTATAATAACATACTTTAAATTTACTTGACAGTCACAACTTTATTCCTCCACTAAAAGCATTCAATCAGTAGCAAACAGAAAAAGCACTGTAATAAGGCAAGAAGAGAATCTCAAGATTTAGTTAATGCCATTCACCAAGTATCTCTATTACTGGACCCTGCAGGCATGTGATAGGATGCATTTCTTCATATCTTCGTAGTTAAATGGGACTAAGAATAATTCTTGTCAGCAAGTTAGGAGTGGAAGTGATAGTGTCACTCCCTAGCCAGAACAAATGATGGTTGGTGAAAGGACTCTTAGGTTATCTTTTCTTTCTCTTAGTGACTAGGGATATTTATAGCAATGGACACTCCATTAGCCTGTATCCCAAAGAAACTATGATAAGCAGAGTGCTACTGTGGTCAGTCACAGCCAAACTGCATAAGCAAGGAACAAATTTGCTGCTGCATGTCATTTATGCTTAGGGCTGTTTGTTATTGTAAAATATCTTATGGCAACAAGCACATCATCCTAAATACTCTCACACATATTATGTCAGCTGATGTTCAAAACAACTTAAAGGTATGACAGACAGGAGCAATATTTTTAAGAAGATGGGAATGTACCCAAGGTCAAGTAGTCTTTGTTCTATTTTATTTCCTCTGAGAGATTCCTACTAATGACTATACTATCTGTTCCAGGTAGTATTCTAAATAGTTAAGATGTAGTAGAGAACAGGAGAAAATAGTTTGCTTTCTAGTGAAGACATGTTCAACAAAATCATGTATAACTAAGAAAAATTCCAGATAATGATAAGTACTATTTGGAGAGTTACAATGAGGTGGCTATTTATACTAATCACAAAATTCTTACCGGAATTTATCATTTTTAAACTGGATCTAAATCACAAGAAAATACCTTAAGAAAGATAGTAAAACAAAAAGATTTTTAGGAACGGTAATAGTTAAAACAAAAGTCTTCACTGAGAAACTAGGCTTCTTTTTTTTTTCTCCCGATGATTTATATATTAATTTGGACAGAGACAAAGAGAGCATGAGTAAAGAGAGAGTCTTTCACCCATTGGTTCATTCCTACATGGCAGGAAGAGCCACACCTGAGCCAGGTCAAAGCCAAGGGCAGGGAGTTTTCCCAGGCCATTAGCAGAAATTAAATCAGAAACAAGCAGCCGAGATTCAAACTGGGGCCCATACGCAATGGTGACTTTTCAGGCAGCAGTTTTTACATACTATGCTACAGTAATGGCTCTAAGAAATAGATTGTTAAACAGAGAAAAAGACAAGATGAAGTGGCCACTTTATAATGGGGAGGGAGGGAATTGACACAAATAGGCATAGTAAAGAGGTACAGGGCAACATCACATTGGGCTATGTATAAAAATAAAATGCATACATTTGATTTTCTGTGCATTCAGATACATGTAAACGAAGTTCATGGACAACCTGGATAAATGTACAGCAAGACAGTGAGGATTAAAGTGTTTACAGAGGTGAGGAAGAAGTGCAAGGAAAGTAAACATAGGCAATTCCTGGAGACAAGGAACTGTGGAAAAAAAAAAGCAGAAAATGTGGAAGCAAATAAGGAGATGTGGGATTAAAAAAAAAAAGACTTTTAAAAGAAAGAAAAAAAAATTATCTGTTAGAATCTGTGGAAGCCCGAAGCCCTCATCAAGGCTTCTGGAATTTCTAAATGGAGGCAGTAGTGCTAGAGCAGTTAAGTGTGTATTGAAGAGCATATGCTGGGGGAAGGGCAGTAGAAAACTCTGGAAAGGTTACTTTCAAATGGTCACATCCACCTGTGAGGGATGAAACACTTGCATCACGTGTGCTGCCTACCATGCTAACATGTGTTTTTTTCCTGCAGGGCACGTCTTAATCAGCATTCATAGTGAGTAGACACTGCCAAAGGTTTGAGAAAGATTCTCACGGTACACACTCTAATAAAACAATGGCAAAATCTCACTTCAATTGCCCTCCAAAAATCTTTCAGTTTCACTTGCAATGAATACTTTCCATAGTTTTGTAGGGTTTTTTTTTTGTTTGTTTTGTTTTTTTGTCCTCCATAGCACCCAGCTTTCTGTGATCTGACCAAATTATTTTATCCCTTCTTATCTTTTTCTCTTTTGTACAATGTTAGGTTTTCTGTTCCTTCTCTGGTAAAACACACCACACATACACACACTCAGTATTAATATACATGCTTTTCTTGCACAGCTATTAGTGCTTGGGTGTCCACAATAAGCATACCTGCTATTCCAAACAATGCAATGCTCATTCAAAAAATCATTCTACAGGCAATTTTTAAGTTAATACATATGTCATCTAATTCTATATATAATCTGCCAAGCAAAGCACCCCCTTTTAATGAACACTTAACAAGAACCAGCCCTGCCTTCCTCAGTGAATAAGACATGCAGATCAACTGATAATTCAAACAGACCTTCCACACAGCAGGACCTTCATGAAAGTGTCCTTTTTGAAGTTAGATGCTTAGATAGTCACAGGGTTCTTCTAATCTTAATTATAAATAATTTTTAAATACTACATTTACTATAAGGAACCAAAGGGATAGTCACTAAAATTGCATAGGATTTTAGATGTGCCTTAAGTTCTAAAAGTTTTGGCCCTAAAATATTTTGATTCCAGCATTCAAATACAGTTATGCAATTTTTCTTATGTTCTCTAATAATCTTATTATACAAAAGATACATAAATGATATTTGGCCTTACATGATCCTCAAAAACATACGTCAGCGTTCTCCAGTGATTCACCTGAGGAACAGTAATCCTTGACTACACAATAACAAATGCAAGGTTATTTAGATATTCTAACCTGCTTTATCTGAGAAGAAGGGCCTGAGCCTTTTTTCTACCAATAATTTACTGTTCATTGTGTGCATGTACATGACTGAAGTACAAACATAATATACACAAAATAAAATGCCTCCACTACACTGGCAATGGTCACCCAAGGACAATAACCAACTGTCCTTGGGCCCGGTGACTGGAGGGAAAATGTGGAAAACTGGCAACAAATATATATTAATCAAAACAGTCTTGATAATCCCTCATGTGCTCTTCCCTGACTGCCAAGTACAGCTGCCACTTCTCTAAATATAAATTTTGCTTCCCTTGAAGTACATTTTCTTATATACAAAACACCTCACCATGGTAAAGTGAAATGGTCTGAGTTGGGGGGCCTGTTAAGGCTATGACACTGCTGACACACAGGAAACTGATATTCCAAATGAACATCAGTTCCTGTCCCAGTGCACTTCATGGTTAATGGCCTTAGAAAGAGCAAAGATGGCCCAAGTACTTGGGTTCCTCCCACCCATACAGGAAAGCCCGTTGAAGCTCCTATTCCTGGTGTTACTCTGGGGCAGCCATAGCCCAGTCCTGTCATTGGTGGGCATCTGAGGAGTAAACCAGAGAATGGAAGATCTCACCCTCTGCACATGGATGTATATATTTATGTGTGTAAATGTGTCTGTTTTCCTCTCCCTCTGTAAGTATTTCTTTCAAATAAATAAATAAATCATTTGTTTTTGAAAGGAAACAGTATCTGATTGTATTTTCAAAATTGATACCTCTAACCTCCCTTAGTGTACGATAAGCAACTGGAATTTCAATTCCATTTCACACACTCATGAATGCATATGCACAGGCAGAACATCTGAGAGTGGAAATCAATTAACCAAGTAAATGTTTCCTTTTTGTTATTTTTTCTAAAAATACAAGGGTGAAATAATGAAAGAGAAAACTAAGAATAATACTTGTGCATACTTAGGGCAGCCACCCAGACATGGTACAAAGAATACACGAACCAGAAAATATCAGTGCACCTTAATACTCACCTGTGCAAGAGAAATCATCCACACGAATGTATCCTGGAACACAGTCACAGCGATACAGGCCAGGCAGGTTGATACACACAGTATTGGCATGACAGTAATGCATCTTTGCAGCACACTCATCAATATCTGAAGGAGGTAAAAAGAAGTAATAGCACGAGTTAAATGACTGGACTGCAGTGCAATTATCTTGTGACGAGAGTACAAAAGGAAATGCCCATTCAAGTCAAGAGAAAAAACAAGACACATTGCACAAAAGCTTAAGTACAAATTCAGCTGGTGTGTTAGAGAGTCCACCCTGAGCTTAAAGAACTTTTAGAAAATGCATAATGAGACACAACAGTTAAGAATCCAAGTGTAGGAATGCTCAAACTACAATTATTAATTTTTCATGAAGAAGGATATGCTCTTTAAATATCTAAAATCAAGAAGTTCTTTATCTACTGAGATTATATAAATAAATACTTGTGGACATTTACAGTACAAGGTGCAGCTTTTATTAGCAAATCAAGAGAATCAAGCCCCTCCCCGTGTGTCAGACTAAGTTATGCCTTAATCCATGTGTTACAAAATCACAGTCTAGCCAGTTTCTTCCAGGCTCTACTGTGAATACTGACGGTAGCTGCTAGCTAATACAAATCAAAGTCTTTTATCCCTTGACCTGAGGACCTATCCTATGTGATAGACTAGAGGGCTGATTCAACGAAAGATGTCATTCTCTTCAGAGCGGAGTACAGAGGGTAACCTGCTTTCTCACTGAAATTTGTGTTAAGGATTAAAATAACGTATAACCTTAAGTAGAGTTTAGTTTTTTCTGAAAGTCTTAGTTTCAAAAAAGAATTATGTTTATTTTATTTAGACTGCTTATGTGTGAAGGTTAAAGAAAGGGAGGAGGATATAAGCACAGCATGGGAATCCAAGATCAGGAAAAAACTAGAGCTCTAGTTCCATATCCTCTCATTACTAGGATATGGAGTGCATTCAAACGCTCTGCAAGAACCAGTATCTTTATCAGTTTGCCCTGATGATCATTTCTGAACCAAATGCTTTCTATCTTTAAATTAATTGCTTAATTTAATTCACATTCAAAGTATAAATACTACCTTCATTTTAAAGTCTAGGAAATAGAGAGTTTTAATATCTGTCACAAAGTCATCTTATTAAAAAGCACTAGATGTTATTTTCTTATTCACAATGATTTACTGCACAAATGCACCATGAAAATGATGATTAGTCAAATAAAGTGTTTCCATTAAGATAACCATGGAAGTTCTACAACCTTTCCTGCAGAGAAACCAAGGATAGGAGCGCCTGTACTGACTCACTATAAAGCTCATCCTTTGCTTTTTATTGTAGGTTGATTTGTTCACTAATAAAACAACCCGAAATCACATCTGATTCTTCTGGTGCTAAAAATTTGTCAGCCTGTAAATAAAAGTTATTATTGGGTAATTGAAGTCTTAGAATTGAAGCCCATAGTTATCAAGACTTCCATAACTAAGATATAAAAGCAAAGCAGAAGAAATGGTGAGTTAATTGAGGCAATCAAGAAGTTCCCACATAACAGTCTCCATCTCAGAGACTGTTTGTTGGGGAGCCCAACCTTCAGCAAGCATTCTGATAGAGGCAAGGAATGATTACATCAAGGGTGCTAGAAACTGAGAAGAAACTAGGACAAGGAGTCACAATGTGGTGTTATGATTTTAAAAGTGATTTACTTATATGTGATTATAACGTGTTTGGTATGATCACAGGTGGATACAATAAATCACTGAAGCCATGCATGAGCACTCCAAGAGAAGATGGATATTAGAGGAGACTGATTGCTATTAATGGTGCTACTTCTAGACAGAAAAATTGTACTTGTACATGCTCTCCTAATGTAATCATGGCTTTGAGACTGAGCATGATATCTGAATAGGAGATTGTCATTTCCAGGTAGGAAGAAGAGGGCCAGCATTTGTCTCATCACATTTTCTTATTTCTGTTTTAGAAATCCTGGAGATATTCAGTCTGGGAGTGTGGGTGAGGAGCAAACCATCAGACAACATAATGAACATGCTGCACGAGCTGAAAATATACTCTTCATTTTAGCCACTGAGCACCCATGGGTGCTACTAAGATCGATTATGAAGGGCAACTCAAAGTAGGAAAATAAACTTGATCTTTAAAGAAAAACAGCACTTCATCATGGAAAGACCAAAGCTGGGAAGATTGAAAGGATAATGTAAAGTTTTTAATTTTTGCACAATAGGAAAGGTTAAAATAATTTAATCATGAACTTTGATGGAATATCAATCATCCCTTACTGGGTCCTTCTCTCCAAAGCCGAACAGAACATCAGGTAAAATGTACTCCAAGTTGTAGCAAGGATGTGAGATCACATACTACGGGAAGATGACCTACTGTGAGAGAAATAATACTTCTTTTGAGATCTAAAATAACATTAGAGAAACAACATTCTAGACTAAGAACATCTGAGAAGGTGAAGTTAGTTGAAGAAGTTTTGCTTATTTGAAATGAAACTGGAATGACAGGCTCAGGCCAGATCCTGCTGGGCTTTGTAGACCAAGTGAAAGAGTCTTTAAACAGGGTCAGGACACAATCAAATTTTGGTTTTTAAAATATTGCAACTGTAGTAAAGACAGCCGATTATAGCGGAACAGGATGAAAGCTAAACATATTGATGTTTTGTTCACAAATATACAGTCACTGAACTTCATCTCACTCTGCTAGAATACCCAACTACTCTTTACGATAAGAAACTAGCCAGGGCTTGTGCTAAAGGCAATTCAATCTTCAGTCCAAGGGTCACAGCTGCCAACCAGGTTGATGACTGCAATGAACGGTTCCCTGCTATGGCTCTTTGCACACTCCTCTTCTAGAAAATTTTTACTCATTCACTTAAATCACTGCGTAACTGCTGAGATGCCTCTGCCTCATCTAGATCTGAAGAAGTTACCTGGCCATAACAAACTTACTTTGATTCAAGCCAGTCAAGCTACCCCCTAATGTCTAATGTTTCTAAGATACTGAATAAAAATATTTTCAAAAACGAGATGAGCAAATGGTTAAGAAACCCCACCACGAATTCATTACAGCCCTTTCCATAAGTTATCCAGAACCCTATGTCATACTGATTTAAGTTTATATCTGTGATGATTTCAGCTCTCACATATCTATTCATTTTGTGGTCCAGTCAACAAAAAGCACCATATGAAGACAAAGAAACTGAAAAACATGTCAGAAAATTAAATTACCATACTCTTAGCTTTGTTGCTTATCACTTATCTTATAGCTACATGATATAAAATCTACCTTGAAGAGGTTGGGAAGGAAGAAGGAAAATGGTTTATCCAGCTGAATCTCTTGAGACAAGAAGAGTCAAAAAAAAAATGGATTTGCAAATTCCATGGTTTTAGAATGGAGAGGAGAAATGGAGTTTGCCACTCTCAGGAAAGATGCAACCCAATAAGAGGCTCAACAGTGCTTCAAAAGCAAATCTGAATCAAATTCAAATTAAAATCTTCATCAAGTGATATCCTGAGAAAACAATTGTCAGAAATATCCAACAACCAAGACTTGGAAAATGAGTCCCAAAATATGCTACGTTTTGTTTGCAGACAAAAGACTCTTAAAGGCAATGAATAATTTTTAAAAATTAAGTCCACACACTGCACCCGCGTGGGAGACCCAGAAGAGGCTCCTGGCTTCGGATCGGCATAGTATCGGCCCGTTGTGCTCACTTGGGGAGTGAATCATCGGACGGAAGATCTTCCTCTCTGTATCTCCTCTCTGTATATCCGCCTTTCCAATAAAAAATAATAAAAATAAATCTTTAAAAAAAAAAATTAAGTCCACAATAAAAGAATGAACTGACATTGAGAGAGAAATTGAGGAGTCCAAACAGCAAGGATTCTAGCTTCTAGAAGGAGAGTCTGATATACTTACTATTGATAAAAGTGCTCTACTTAAAGCAAACATCCAGGCAATGTGATACCCTCTAAAATAATATTCTCCAAAATCCAGAAAGCAAAAAAAGCAAAGCTTGACTTTGAATTTCAAGATAAATTTTGAACACATTCAATTCCATGCTCAAGCTGAAGGGCCAAGTCAGCCTTGAATGCTTTCTAGGAAGAACCAGTTAAACTGACAGCTACTGAAAGGCTGAATTCATTTCAAAAGCACATTGTTGGGCGATATAAAGAAGAATAACAATTTGATAGTGAATAGCCACAATAGCACTAAGGCCAATCCGCAGGACCTGGTAAATAGTAAATGCTTGTCATTTTTGTGTATCAAGCATTATACTAGGGACTCAGTATGAAACATTTCATCATTCCATGTAGCCTTCTTGACAATTCTAAAAAACTAAGGGCCCTCACAACATGGTGAAAACACTAAGGCTTCAGCATAATTAGGTCAGTTGCCCACAACACAAAATTAGCAAAAAAAAAAAAAAAAAAAAAAAAAAGAAGGTTGAACTCAATCAATCTGATTTTAAATTGGCATTGCTTATCTTGTGCAACTTCTAAAGCACACTTAATATTTCAATGCTATGATTATGTTAAACATAATTAAGGTTGGAATGTGTATGGAAAGAAACAGATCACCAACTTGAATGTCTGCATGAAATACCATTCAGGACATTTGTTCTGGTATTTCACTTTGTTAAGATGACAGTGCTGCCCCATGCATCACTGCTTCCTTGGCTCTTTAAATCAAATTCTAACATTTTCACACTTTAGACACCAGTGACCCAAGGTCCCAAAACAAGCAGCAGCATTTTGCTCCCAGCTGAACACACAGCTTGATAAAAACCTCTCTTTTGGGCTGCAAAAGACTACTAAATACATTCCATAGGATTAGAAACTAGTGACAAAAGGTCTGGGTTCTTTTAAAACTATATATTTTTAGAGAAACATGTATAAACCCTATTGCAATATAATTCATCTTGAATACAATGCAACTCAAAAATTTGTGATTCATTCATGTAAACTGCTTATTGGGTTTGAATATTAGAATGCATCTCCACTGGTCTGCTGAAATAATAAAACTATATATGATTTATGTTCCCAGGATGGTGAAGTAATGTGTTTGTTTTACAAAGGTAATAATAAGAACTTAAA